TTTGGAACTGTTACAGCCATTTTAATTATGAGCATTAGCAAACTTCTTACTAGGTGAATTGTTATGCAAATTAGCATATATCTCAGCTTCCTTTTAGTGCACATCCCAGAACTTTAAAACAAAAAATAGCTCCTAGATGATTTGACTTTTTGTTTTGAAATGTTCACAAATGATTGACAATGTGTTTATCTTCAAAACGCCGTTGGGGCATTGTTGTTGGTTGAACAGTGTTACAACAATCGTACAGACAACTAGCCTGGGTGTAAATTTATGCATAAACTTGAAGTAGTAAAATTTGAGCTGCTGCCCTGCAAAATTGACAACTGGTAGACAGTTTTCAAGACGGCACTTTCTTCATAGTAAACAGATGTACCCATAAACCAATTTTGACAGGAAACAGAAGCATGGTTTAGAAGCTATTTTTTTTTAAATCACTTTTGACCGAAAAAGCACATAAAAAAATACTAACAAAATTTTAAAATTCATACAATAAGCTTCCCGAAAATATATAGTTTTGTGGACAAGGTAGGTCATCTTGGTTTCCTAATTAACTAATAAAAATACCTGTCAGGTAAACTGCATCTCTACCTTAATTGTTTTGTCTTCTCATTTGCTAATTAACATACCCTTTTGATCAACTGGCCAATACGTATATGAGTAACATATTGGTTGGATGTAGTGAGGCGTGATGCGAGTCATTCTGCCGAGACAGTTTTCATCTAGCCTATGTCTCTATATTAAACGTTTTGACTAACTAAAGTCATATAGTGTGGTTATTTTCGCGTGAAAGTCCATGCATGTGAGATCTATGTACAAGTCAATACAGTTAAAAAAACAAATATATACATGTAATTGAGATCTACTCACCTGTTGCAATAGACACAATAACGACAAGCGTTTGAAAGAAAAACCACAGCGACATTGTGTCCACTAGCATGGACGTTTTCCAGTGAACAAAACTAATCAGTGCATTCAGTTTCCTATTAAATGTTCAATCAATCTGATTGTCTCCTTGTTCGGAAATTACGATTGTTCAAGGCAGGATATTGAAAAAATAATAAACCAACAAACTATGCATATTTTAGGTATAACTACACATAAGTTGTAATATTGTGTTTCTTATAAGATATTATATGTTACTGAAAAAACGAGAACATATTTAAAACATATTTAAAATTTACCTCAAATGTATCAAAAATGTAGTTTTTGTTAAAAATAGTTGGATGTTTATACAAGTGTATCAATATACTAGTCAAAATGCAAATTAGCATATATATTTCTAATGAACGTTTTTACATTCACAATAGACCACTGATTATTTAGAGTTTTCAGAGTATATCTACTACTGAATTTATTTTTCTTTAATGCATAACTTAATGTGAAATATAAATAACAGCATGTAAACAGCCGTCAAAAGAAATATACATTTTCCACATAAAAAAAAACCTCTGAAGCAGTTCTATCACAACATTTGTCAAAGGCTCTATCACAACATTTGTCAAAGGCTCTATCACAACATTTGTCAAAGGCTCTATCACAATATTTGTCAAAACCTTTTTCTATAGTCCTTGTTGAAAATTGAATATATTCTTTATAAATAGGGCAATTGATGCTAGATAATAATACACTACATACTGAACAAATAACTTTCAAAATTCCTTCTTTTGTAATAACCAGTGTGTTCATTTCTGTCAAAAACAGTGATACAATGATTACTGGAACCCACGTTACATAACTAAAAGATGTTTGGAAAAGAGTTGACCACATACTGTTCAACATGTGGCACTCACCACATATCATTCATAATGAAATGTTATCTGTAAGGAGTCCAAGGTTTGCATAAGATAATTGACATTAGTTAAATTCACGACTGTGACTCAGACAGATGTATGGTGGAGCAGGATGTGCTCACTCTTTTCGAAACACCTGACATCACCTCTTGGCTTGTGCCTTGAGGTCCATGTATCTCTCTCACTGATTTGACAGTGTGTTGTTTTTTTGTTTTTTTGTGTTCCCTGTGTGTTCTCGGATTTGTAAATATTGCCTTTTAACATTGGTTGTTTGGATTATAGTTGGGTATTGTTGCTTGGATTTTCCATATAGAATAATTTATGTTCGAGTGTTAATTGTAGCCGTTCCCTACTTTTTTATCATATAGTGTGGTAGAAAGCTGGCCCTTATAGTCAAATTTCACCACAAGGATCTAATGTCAAGACATATTGTGGACTGTAAACGGAAGTATGGTATGAACTGGTGATCTTTATTCGGATTGTGACATCGGGAAGACGAGTCTATAGACGGAGCATAAAGTTGTCCCTGGGCGTTGGCCAAACGACCAAGTCTAGAGATCATACAAGTGAACTCAGTAATATGTATCTGTGTGTATTTCTAAGTCTGTCTGAAGTAATATGTCTTTTTATGAGGTAAATCACGGGATCAAAATTGATTCATCAATGACTCAAAATACCTTTTACGATAGGACAGTGGTTCAATACACAGCATAATCACGTTTCCCGAAAATACATTAAATAAAAATACATTGAATAAAAATACATTGAATGAAAATACATTGAATAAAATGTGTAGCATCTCCACATTGTGGTGAAATGTTCATTTTCCAGGCATTGTAACTATCGAGATTTGACTTTCAAATACGGAAGAACAACTGTAGAAATTGTTTTGCGCATGCAGCAATCCAAACGCAGCGTCTTCTAAATCCTACTTATCGTAATCTGCTGTAATCCGCGAAGTTGAATCGCAAACAGTGAAGCTAAGTCGATATATCCTGAGATATGTTATTTATCATATTTTGATTCAGAAAATAAAAAAAAATTATTAAAATAAAAAATTAAAATTAGTCACGAACTCGTTTCATGCATCATGTTCCTCTAGATGTCATTTATTGTGCGATATAGTGGTCGGCAACTGAGATAAACTAAAACTAATTCAATATATGGTCGTCCTATATCTCAGGTGATTATTTTGTCAATTAATATCCGGAGTATTTTTGGGAAATTGGCCACGTTCATGTCGTCCAATAAGATTGAGCGATTACATGCATTTAATCTCGTGTACATAAGCAAGTAATGGAAGTTGATTGGAAAGAATACACCCTCTCTGTTTCACTTGTATAGCAGACAAAAACTCATTTCATTTATCAAATACAATTTTTTTTGTGAATCTTCATCTATCTGGCAATACAAATGGAAAATTTCCAATATTTTTTTTTCAGTGTAATCGTAATGTGTTCTGCAGTCAATACTTCATTTACTGATTCGACTATGTTGTGTTATGAAATTATCGGTCATTTTTATGTGTTCAACAATATATGGTTGTGTATGTTATTTCTACTTTTCTACTGGTGCAGACATCTTTCTATTTTGCACGATTCCATAATTGTTAAAACAGTAATTTGGGTATTCACAATATGAGCGCTTAAATTTGGAACTTAACTTGGGTTGAAACACGGGGTGCTTGGCTTTTAACTCCCAAACTGCAATTACAATTGCCTACGCCTTTGTTAAAGGGCGGCAGTCGTCGTGCCGCGTCCTGTTCGATATGGGACTCATAACGAGGTATACAATGCGTGTAAAATACATTGTTTATTTACATGAAATTCGAACACGCGCTGCGCGACGACCACCGCGCTTTAAATATCTAAGCGTATGTTATATGTTATCCACCAATATTAGTCTGCAAGATATGGACGAATAACATAGGTCTCGACTCTTAAATGTGAATAGCCTTCCAAATGCTAAACATAGTATTGTTTACCATTTGGTAGGATATACGCCCATGATATAATTGCTGATTCATTGCTTAAAAACATCATAGAGAAGCAACATATACGTGATTCTTTATCAATAAATAATTCCCATTATAGTAAATTGTTCATTTTTCTTTTATTTAACTTGACTACACATATACAATAATACACATACACACTCTTACTGTGTTCCGACAACTACACTGTCAACTATTTTACTATGTAAGAATTAAATTATACTAAATAACCATAATCATAACCAAGATAGAGTATAACGTATATATTTTAATCACCTTCTCCGAACAACTATTATCAGGTTATTATGTTGAAATAGCCCTGGCTACTATAATCAAGGCTAACATGACAGCAATTGACAGTATCTAAGGATGTATCTAAAACTACTGACATTCTCACATAGACTATGTCAGCCGATGTTACATGTAGCCATGTAATAAACAAATATATTAATGCTCAGTTTATTAAGTTATGGCGTGCCATAGTAAGCATTCCACGAAATTTAATCTGCATCAACACAGACGAACCATGCAACATTGTCAAATTACGGTTTTACAATTCACACCGGGTAATAAACCAAGTACACATTAATGGGTTAATGTCACACAGCAAAGGCAAATACAGCAACAATGTTAAATGCTAAATAACAAGTTTATATAGAGAAACTAATATGATCACAATGGCTTGGGTTTCAAGAACAAATAACTATCAATAACCTAGACAGCTTTGAACATTTAATTAACTGTCATATAGCGCATACACGGGCCACACTGCCTTGTAAGTACAACTAATTACTTTATCTCATAACTAACTAAAGACATCAGTAACAGAAAATTGCTTAATTAGACACATTCGTATCGTATATTATTAGTCAAATATTATGTAACATTAATTGCTATTCATGAGCCAATCGTGCATATTCTTTATTGTTCATGACAGTTACAATTTGTGATAAAACACAGATATAACCATTGTATCAGCTTCTTTTCTGTCTGAAAGAAAATAAACACTATTGTTATTTCGGTGACATTTATGTATAATTACTATTCAATTTATTCGAAACGTTCTATAAAAGTAGGGTCAAATGGTATGTTTCACCGTTTAAGACAAAGAAGGTTAAAAATAATTACGTATTTGTGAGAAGATAGACGTTCAGTCAATGTAATAACACAGTTGTCAACCCAGTATTGATGTGTTGTTATTATATGATGTATATTATTTACTTATGCTTGATATCGTACATAAATTGTCGCAAACCTTGCTTTGAATTCCAGTTGATGGACGTCTCTGTTCCACTATATAAAATAGCTGGTCTATCAATGACTGATATTTCCCAAGGACATTTAAATGTATAGTCATCTAGTACAACAATCCATCCACGTTCAGTGGCGCAGTCATCGGGATCTTCATGAATTGAAAAACTGTGGTTTCTGCTTGGGCTAGTGAATTAATAAAATGTTATAACACATGCATGAACTGATATTTGCTGTGTTTTTGTGATTGTGCTTAAAACACGATTCATAAATATTTGTACTATTTCGATTCAAAACATTTTTTAAAATTTCGATACTATGTACCATAACTTATTGACCTTTGATATTTTTACAAACCTTTTCAATTACATGCAATTGAAATCAATGGACAGAATATATCTGAACCCAAATGAAAACCACCATGTGAATAAAAAATATATAAAAGACTCGTACCAATCAATTGTTGCGGACGCATTTTTCATTAGATCATGCCACGATGAAGCAAGTATTCGATTAGAATTAAACCAGTTATTTGCGTTGCTATTAACGCCATCAAATAATACTGTAGCCACCTCGGTGTAATTCTTGAAAAGTGCCAATTTTACCTGAAGTTAGAGTGTAATGTGTCTGTTATATGTAAATGCAAGCACACAAAAATCAATGACCAACGTCATATGACATTGTGACTGATGTATCTTGCACGCATATTTCGTACATTCTACATGTCAGTTTAGATATGTGCATTGAATTAGATTCTAATGGCTACCTTTTTACCATAATGTGAAATCTTCACTATCTTCAATTGTTCACGCTTTTACAGCATTGTCTCAGATTCTCCTACCTAAATCATATATTTCTCTAATAATTCATTATTCCTGGACCTGTAGTACATAACCAGACTTTTCTCAAAAAAGTATTCTTTCATCGAAACTATTATACGAAGGGTTTTATAGAAAGAACGGCTAGCCTTAACAATCAACAAGTATGTAGGCACATGTGATTAGCACTGGTGCCACATGTGGAGCAAGATATGCTCATTCTTTTCAAAACACCGTCCATCACAACCCACATATTATTATTTACAGAGAAATTTTATTGTTTGCGTCAAACTGGGAACATTTATTTTTAATATAAATATACTTCAACCCTATTTAAAACGAATTCTCACCAAGGTAATGTCATCTACAAGTTTTATAAATCAGTTATATGAACTCCACGGTCATCTTTCAAATTGTTGAAGTTAAGGTTAAGGCTTAATTAGGTGTCATTGCTAGAAGATTCCGCATATATCATCGCACTACAAATACTTACATAGTTAATATCAAGGTGTTCCCACTCCGTGGTCATATTGCTCTTGTATTGTGTGCTCGTGTCGGCATTATTGCCAACTTCTTCTGTTCCCATCCATAACTGACTAAATGACGTAGTAGTATCATTGTTGCTTACACCTCGAAAAAGCATCTCCCATTCTGAAATTATTATCACAGTTGTTACAAATAAATAATAATCTACTATCTACTAATCCAATACTATCATTAAAAATGCTATGAAAATATTAGGAGTTACGTAATATAATTTTTTTCTTTTTTTTAAAAACAAATGTAGCAACAAATGTGAAACAGAAATTGTCTATGATGCCATGGCCATCTACTCATGTTCTTATGGCAAAATACATTTTCTTATTACTCTATGTTTAAAGGTTAAAGGTCAACTAAATAGGTGTATTGAAAAGAAATCATTCTACTTAAGTTATGTAATTTAGTTTACGTTTTAAAATTTTGAGTTACAGTAATTGAACGGTATTTCTATAACAATTGCATTGGGTTGAATCGGGTGATTGTATATGACATCAAAAGAAAAGTTCTTGAGAGACTGCTCCAAAATGAACATTTCCCAATTTTGCTCGGCGTGCACTAAGAGCCACACAGTAACATAGAGGTATCTACGTACATTGGACCTCGTTCTCTGTATACACATGAATGAAATCGAAAATTGCAAACTCCCGAAGTAAGTTTTATTTTAAATTTGTTCATAATTTCAATTTGTCTTTGCATTTCCGGTTTCTCAAGACGATTCGTGGGCTCAAATCAAAACAGTCACATGCATGAAATGTTCAGCTTGTTATTCACTTTGCCCTGCTCCGAAATATTAATAACCATCATCACAGTGTTGATGCCAGTTAAAATATGCTAGTATTGATAATGGCTGACCAAATGTATCAAAATACTGACTGAAGTACTGACTTTAAATGTATCATACTATATAAATAGTTATACTAATGGCGGAAGTATGTTGTTATATGAGGGTAATAATCAGATTAATATGTCAAGCCCTTTTCATATTTTTCATATTTGCAATAAAGTGTTGCTTTAATATTATCGTGATATTTCAGTACATAGTTTACTAACCATAGTTCGTTTCGTCCCACAGTAATATATGAGTGTCTTTGAATCATAGTATTTTTGTTGTATGTATGCGGAATGTTGTTGACCCATGCATGTTGTATACTACGAAAGGATTGTTAAGGTAGTAGTAATCGGAAACAACAGAAATGCATATACCGGCATATCACCAATAATTATTATATCGGGCGTGTTTCAATCCATTTTATTATTATTTTGTTTGTTAACAGAGACGTGTATAAACTCCACATGTAATACGTAGAGTATGTCTCGTAAGCGACGTTTCAATATCAAACTTGTAAAATGTTGAATAAACTGTTTTATAAACAATTTTCGAATTTAAAACGTCACTATCACAACACAACACAACACAACACAACACAGAAAAGGTAGGTCAAGCGATTTTTCTTTTAAGTAGGCCTAATTATAGGAGAGAATTGGCTTGCCTGTATCATCTGCGTATACCTGAAGCTCACAAAAACACAACGTTTCGTAGACTATTCTTTGTACACTAACATAACGCCCAATCATAAACTGACAATCAAGTATAACATTGGTTAAAACTTCAGATACTCGTTCACCACACATTGTGTTCTTCTGAAAATTGTTTGATAATCCAACTCTTACTTCGTTGTCAAGGATACGTTCTGCTGTGAATAAATAAAACACAATATATGTAAATATTTGATAATGTGTAGTTCATATAATCATGTTTTGTTTATTAGATTTTGGGGTTTCAAAGAAAATCATGTAATTATTCAATATTACTAAACTGACTGACTTAGATGTTCTATAATTCAATTAAAGATTTCCCAAATGATTTTTGATCAAAGTGCACCATTGTAAGACTTTATATACAATAAATGTCATGTTTCTGAATCTGGTAGATGTTTTTGAAATGGCTTAGGATCAATTAGGATGAGAATCAAGTCAACACCTTTTGCAAATTGTTTGCTTTGTTCTAGAACTGTTATGCATATCACGTTATATCGGTAATAAATTCGTGCAGAATCACTGAATGCCTATAAAAGTATGAGACTTTTGTAGATGGTTCGGGTCAGATAAACCCGCCTAATCCTTTATCTTGTACATAAATCAGCAAAATGGCATGTCCACTCAAGTATTCTGCCTCAAAGGTAACAACTATATGAGGCCGGCTAGAATTGCTCACAGTGTAATTACGTTCTTTTTGTCGTTCATAATTTTTAACTAATTAACAACTTCTCGTCGAATGAGCATATCGAATATAATTGCAGCATCTCTAAAACATAAAATGCATCATATATATGTAGGTACAATTTGTTGTATGTAAAACTTACGACAACAATCGATTCTGTTTGTTATATTGATCCATCTCACGATGTAGCTGACTTGTAAATCCACCATCCACCAAGGGTGGTTATAAATTTTGGTATGCATACATGATTTATTTGGATAAAAGTTGGGATCTGTATTTCCATCCACTGCTTTGTCAGGGGTTCCACCATGCTGTATGCTAACTGATGTAGCTACCTTACCTTTAGCCACTTCAACGTAAGGAATTACTACATGGAATAATAATTACACATGTTTGAATATATGAACATCGATTTTAAATTATTCACACCAACATCAGATGACTTATTGTGGACATTTTGTTTGACTAAAACAATTGAATACATGAATTGTGTAAAATATCTCCTATGGCATTAGCCCTTTCTCTGTATTGTAATATTCTAAGAAAAGGGCCAGTATTTGAGAAATAGACAAACAAACTGAATAGAGACATCCCATAATACCGTGTTTTCGATTTGTTTATTTAGTTCATGTTCTTACATTTGTATATGAAATTTGCACCTCAGTGTTCGTAATCCTTCACTAATTGTAGAGTTCATAATTCATTATAGCCAATTAAAAAAATGAGATATACACTTTTGATAATATCATTTTTGATTTACTTTCTACTGTATACTTGATGAAGATGGGGATCGCATGGCGTCGCCTTCGTATCTACTCGTTTTGAATTTAATAATCCATTTGGTGATTTGCTTAATTATAATTTCTGTATATTATTTAAACGGTGCGGCCATATCCCGCACGTCGACAGTAGTACAGCTAAAACAACACATTTCTTTTACATTTAGAATTTTAATTCTACTATTAGTGAGTTGTTTTAGTTAAAAGTACACACGAAAATTGCTGCTTAGAGATACATTTTTATTGGTTTTACACTAAAATTCTAATAACGCACGAAACACCATGAATCCTTGGGCGAAACTGGAGCTCAAAAGTAATTTCATTTCGTATACATATTTTGAATCCAGCGAATGTTCGTTGCCCAGGTAATTTGCGCCCGTTCATTGTCCGTGAGTAAATTAGCATAATAATGTTTAGCAGTCTATAGACTATATCTTAATCCATCATGTAATACAGTTTAAATAGTGACATTCATGTTTGATTTACAAAAATTGAAGTGCTTCTGGCTCAATACATTCGTACTTCCCCTCTATGCGCCATAATAAAACATACAATCTTAATTCACTAAATTATTGTGCGTTATTGTTGGTAATGATCACATTCGACCCTATTGTAAGTAGCACTGTTCGCTTATCTTCGCTATCCCTCAATCTATAAATACAGTAGTTTTGGTCCTAGACACTGATCTCAGTGAATATATCTTGTACATTTAAAAAGTATAATATCCTTAGCGGAAAGCAATATATCCACCCAATTAACTAGACTTTCAATTACAACAATGGTGAACATTTTACTGAAAAAGCCTCTATTATAATTGGTCATATTACCCGTATCCCCTTGGTAGTAAGATAGAATAATATTTTTACCAGTTCCTAGCTTTCATTGCTCTGAGAATCTCAGCTTCTATAATAGGACAGTTTAGGGGGTATACCACAGTGTATTTGTGATCTCACTGAATATGGTATATTGGAATACTGCATGATATAACGTAAGACTATAATATATTGAGCATACATGGCAGATATTAACAACTGTTGCAACACCACTTATTAACATCATGTATATAAATTGCATTATCGGCGCAACAGCAGTGTAATATCTACGTAATTGAACACAACATGATCGCGCTCATATCTGGTGACGCATTTTTTAAATATGTCTTTATATTAAGACTTTTATGTCTCGCAAGCTGATATGAGTGCGATCTGCAGTCACGGTATAATGAAATATACCAGTCTGAAAGGTCAGCTACTGACCCTTGTAACTCACAACTCACATTTATCGCAGTTCAAACCACGGAATCCTTCGGAACAGTTACATGTGTATAACAAGTAATCACTAGGAACAGAACACGAATCTATATTTGAACAGTGTCCTCCATTCAAACATGGCCCACTGGAACAACCTTTTTGATAGTGATTAACCTATGGGAAATATAGCGTAGTACGTCAATATATAATTAGATAATACATTACAAACAAGCGAAACTAGATACTATTAATTTTTGTGGACTCGACGCGAGTTTTGCGACCCGAGGTAGTACAATTGATTCCATCCAATCGCGTTTAAGATAATTCAACCATTCATAACGCCCTAAATGATAGTAACTCCATGGATGTAAACACTTTGTCAGCACTCATATTTCGATGAAGTAACTCGACGTTCTTCCTTCCTACGTAAAATAACGGCCGTTGAATTGATATTACTTTTAAAAGTGAATGAATGTCATATGTAAGGTGTATGAAATCACTTTTTAAGTAAACGCCAGTTATTTATTCGAAATACAGATACAATATAAATGTAGAATGTAATCTTGTAACCACTTATAAACTTGTCTTTTGTAAATAATTTTGAAATATTGACATATCTGTAAATGTTTTGAAGTGATAATAATATGCAGTGCACTCTGATTGCTTCAACAGACTGTGTATGTGTACAAGATAAAACACACCTTATTGTAGTCGTCTTCAATCTCTAAATAGACATATTCGCCATAGTCCAGTTGTATATTTTTATCCAAAGTCACACTTTGATCATTTAACTCACATACGCCTTGTGTTAAATGGTAATTTGCAGAAATACATCTTGGTAAACTGGAACAAGCAAGACCACAACTCAGTATCGTACCAAACTTCTGTTTTTGAAACACATGCCCAGAAAGGTAGTGGCCATTGATGTGATACTGTATGTATGGCGATTCCACTTTCCTCTGTGCTGAGTATGTATTAAAATAGAATATAAATATATCGGATGGAAATCGTCAGCAAAAGTAATCCCCTTTTCCTGTGCCCAATCGATTAGGCGTATATCGATGCCTTAAATATATCATGCAAAAATATTTCCAGCGTAATGATTAGTGTTGTTTAACCAGACATATGGTCATTTTTTATGTTGATTTGAGCTTACAATAACAATTTACAAAATATCTCATTGTAGAGATATCAAAAGAAATTGTTCTCGACAGTTATATTACTTATATACAGTTATATTACTTATATAAGTTTTACAGATTATTCCAGATGCATGACTTGTATTTGTCTGGTTTAAATATATTATGGGTGGTAAATATGGAGAGGGATAAGATGCTCATGCATTTTGACAATACAGATTTATCATACAGTGACATTAACTGATATACATATTCAACTGCCAATATAATATTGGCAAGGATACCAGTACAAACAGAACTTGTCAAGAAAGAATATGGCATCAAAGACCCAAACTCTGATTAATGGAGACTCTATATTGAGTCATTGTTACCCAGACAAAATAATCGCCGATTTTGGGAAGTGTCCAGAGATGTCAATGCAGAATGTATACATCATTATATGGCTGCAGACAAACAGACAGACAGACATACACTTGTATGATAGAGTTCGCCTCAATAGTTTTGGAACAGCCATATTAGCCAAAAACTATTAAAGATAAAATAGGACTAAAATATGAACCATATTACTTCATCTTATCACTCCCACAGGTACTGGGGTACTCCACAGGGCCAAAGGTCAGTTAAATACAATTCAAAATGAATAAAAACAGAAAGAAAGGAATTAAACCAGAGGAAAACGGCCCTTTCTATTTCATATTTGAACATACAGGGATAGGTAAAAGATAAAACACAGGACCAAAATGTTATTGATTATCGGACCATGATATATATAGATTTGGATATCAAAATAAAAACATAAATATTGCAAATTACTGGTTGTTCGTAAAGCAAAACAAAAAGGCGGTGGGGTAACCATTCTCAATTAAAAGTGGAATTCAAACTATGAATACTGGAAATGAAGACAAGATTTGGTTCCAATTAGGAAAAAGGTTTCTCAATTTATCAAATTCAAACAAATCAGATACTTTCTTTGAGCAACTGGAAACATTTTAAAGTGAAATAGATTCAATGGGTTGTGGGAGATATAACTGCAAGGACTGGATGGTAGTAAAAGACATGTTCTATGATATGTTCCAAGACATTACGCAATTGACACTAAACTAAATCGTTGTAGCATGGACAAAAATGACAATAAGTATGGTCAACTTTTAATTGATCCGTGTAAGCTTAGCAGGATGCGAATTCTAAATGGCAGAATATGCGGTGATATATAAGCTAACTACATGGCATGACAGAGTTAACTTAGCTACAAGAAATTTAATCAAATTATTAGAATTACTAGCAACAGGTATATTAAATAAAATAAAATATGCGCAAAACGAAAAAAAGAAAAAAAATCTAAAATGGTTTGATAAACAATGCGATTTGTGTAAACGTGATTTTATGACTTCAACAAAGTTAGTAAATAGATATCCTTTTGATATGCAACTTAGCCGAATGTTTTATTCAAAATTATAGGGAACAGCCAAGCAAATACAACATGTTTACATGTATAATTCAATACAGTGTATGAAAATGTACATGAATTGATTGATTGTCATGTAAATAAAAATTTATATAAATTGTATAGATGAGTATTTTTAAAAGCACACAATAAGTTGTTGTTATCGTTAACTGACATTAAATGTACATATATATTTGAGATTTACTCACCTGTTGCAATCGACGCTGTAATAGCAAGCGATATAAAAAGGCAATACATCATCATTGTATTAACTGAATAGAAAAGAATGTCATCTAAAAGTTGTGAACTCAACGAATGTGTGTATTCATTTGCAATTTAAAGTTCAACGAACAATGGGATCAAGATTAATCAGGAAATGACACAGGGTATTAATCAATATTGATAAAATGAATAAGAAAGTAAATGTTCATTAAATTCTAACCACTGCTACAATTGCACTCACTAAGTTGAATGCTAATTTGTTCAGTATACAAACGTGCTATATATCGGGTCATTGTTCATATCCGTGTTATATCAATTACACAGAGTATGCTAGGAAATTGACCACTTTCATGATAGAGTAACTATGTAAATAAATAAATAGTGCATACAAAATGCAGTAATGTAAATGGTCTCTGTTTTACTATATGAGTAGATGACGACAATGTTTTGGTATCCACGCCAGGTGAATCGTGTGTGACAATACAAATCGGGCATTACCAAAATTGTTTATTTTAATGTAATCGCAATTTGTTTTGCAGTCAATGCCTGGTGGCGCTTACACTTCTTAGATATACATATGCTACGGATATTAAAATTGATTTGGCAAAGTGTACATTGACTCTTACTCATAGTAGCACAACACTGACAATAACAGTAAACGTTTTGTAACACTCATTATAATAATCAGTCTAATTGTTCCACTAATAATTATAGCCGTCATTAATAATTATTTTTACAATGTAGTACACTTGACATGTTCTTTGAATACAAAACATTTGTTGGACATATTAATGTATAAATGATTATGTATAAATAACACACTGCACAA